GGGGGGGGCAGGGCTGCAGCCTGAGGACAGGGCACCGGGTCTGTGTGCCCAGCACAGGGAGATGCCCCCTGCAGCTTGGCTCTGCGCTGTCAGTCACGTCATCTGCTCTCAGTAACGTAAACAGTTCTGCCTATTGTCTGGAATGAATTTGCCAGAAACAAAGGAAAAGGTTGTTTCTGTTTCCCCCACTGAGTTCTTTTACTCCCTTTGGAACCCTCCGCTTTGAAAGGTTTAAATCTTCATGGAGAGCACGTGTGAACAATAAACAGACAAGCGGGTTAATTAGAGATGCAACAACGTAGGCACTTTTCCCAGAAACGCCCACTGGGTCAGGCTGTCGGGAAAGTTCCTGGGAGGCAGCCCCCGCCCCCCCGCCCAGCCCTCTGATGCGCTGGGGCCCTGGATGCCGTGTCCACGGGCCTGAGCTGACGGACGGACGGACGGACGTGTGCTTGCAGCAACGAGCTGAGCATGAAGGCGGATTCCCGCCTGAACCTGCTGGACGACGGGACGCTGATGATCCAGAACACGCGGGAGACGGACCAGGGCGTGTACCAGTGCATGGCCAAGAACGCGGCCGGCGAGGCCAAGACGCAGGAGGTGACCCTCAGGTACTTTGGGTCTCCAGGTACGTGGATGGTCTTGCGCGTGGGGGTCCCTCCCAGGGTTGGCGTCCACCCCTCCCTCCTGCACCCCGGCTGGCGCCGCGGGAACGAGCCTCCGGTCTCTGGCCGAGGCCCCTGCCAGGGGCGCAGTCCCAGGGGAGGCATGACCTTTGCCCTGGCCCACATGGTCCCTAGTCCAGGACGGACACTCAGTGGACAGCCCAGCCGGCAGTGCTGCGGGGCAGCGGCCAGAGGGCGCTGGAGAGCTGTCACCCCCACCTCTGACCCTCCCGGTCGCCCTGGTCCTGAGGGGCAGCTGCCCTCTGTTCCCGTTTGGCAGGGGGGGGGGTCTCCGTAGTGTTAAGGAGTTGGTTATTGAAAAAGAAGCCAAAATCTGGGTTTTTATGTAAAATTCCAGGTGGAAAGTGTTGGCACCGATTTAAAAAGACGGTCTTATCAGCGAGGCACAGCTGTGGCCTCGGTCGGTCTGAGTGCCCAGGCCCCAGCCCTGCTCTCGCCGTCATGTTTAACCTGAGAACTTGGGTGGGAGGAGGACTGGCCTGGGAGGACGGTCCAGCCGCCACCTGCTGAGAGGGCACAGCCGCTGGGTGCCCCGTGGTCTGCACTGCCCCCCCCCCCCCCCCGC